TGGTCTCGAACTCCTGAGCTCAAACGATCCGCCCGCCTCGGCCTCCCAGAGAGCTAGGATTACAGGCGTGAGCCACCGCGCCCGGCCCCAAGGGTAGTTCTTTAAAATGCCTTTATCCCAGCACGTTTTCTAGCAGCCACTTCTTTGGCATGGGTATGTGTGACTAAATAATAAATATATATGGATATCATTACACATACAAATTAAGTTTTTTAAATGCAATGACATTTTTAGGGAAGTTCCAATCTCAGCATGTTATTAAAATTTTAAGCTGTGCTCATTTCTCCAGCCAGTGTTCACTAAACATTACACCTCATCTTTGAGGTGTAATAAACATGTCAAAGGTATAATTTGTCATGACAGAACTACTGATCTATAACATCCATGGAGTCTGTACATCCTAAAATTCATTCTGTTTTCCATTTTCAATGCTACTCCTTTTTTGTAATTCTCGTATTTTTCCTAATTTCAATAATTTTCCCTGTTACATTCCTTAAATCGGTTGTTGTTCCTTCATGCAATCATTCGGGTACCTCAGTGACCCTTCTCTCCGGCATTCTGAAATCACACCTCTCCCCTCTGTTCAGGCTTCCTCACCATCTGCTACTTGATAAAGTCCTGTGCAATTACATCAGCCAAAAGCCTTTTTAATGGACTTCCTTATGTTTACTCCTTGCTCTGTCCTGAATTTAGTCCCTCCAAAGTTTATACTTCGAAGCCTTAGACCCCAGTGTGAAGGTATTTGGACATGAGGCCTTTAGGTGACATAAGGTAATGGGGGAGGGTCCCCATGTTGTGATCGTCACTCTTTCTGTGCCACTTGAAGACTCAACTGAGAAGTCATCCACCCACAAGCCAGGAGGGTGGCCTTCATCCAGAAACAAATTGGCTAGATCTTGGACTTCCCAGGCCCCAGATCTGTGAGAAATAAATATCTGCTGTTTGAGACACTCATAGTGTTTGGTTGTGGAAGCCAGAGCCAAGATGCCCCTGGAGTCTCATTTCCATCATTAATCACACAGTGTGTTCTATGATCACTGCATGTGGATCTACCTGAAATGGCCCCCAATCCTCCACTTTTGCTCACCACTCTGTCTTTACACATTATTGATTCTAACTTAAATACTCTGGTACAAGCAGGAAATGGGTAAGGCACTCACTGTAGTAAGAGAAACTGATGGAGCTAATATTTCCCAATGGACGGATAGTACTGTAGGAAGCCCACGTGGCCTGGGGAAAATGACCAGGGCAGCAACAGCAGGGAGCTGAGAGCATTACTAGGCCTGAAGGAGCAACAGGAAGGAGCAGTCACCAGGCCCCAGGGAGACCCTGAGCTTCAGCAGAGGCCAATTCAGCAGGAGCTGTGCCCTGTAGCAGAGGAAAGCAGGACTGCCAACGCCTCAGGACAGCAGGGTGGCAGCCAGGGGAATAAAAACCCTCACTTTTCTTTCTCCTGTAATTTACTCGTTTTCTGCTGGCACCTCCTATGAGCTGAACCAATCAGAAGTCAGAGGCCATGGGAGCCTGACTGCTGTGCTGCTTGCAGGCCAGCTTTGTGGGGCACAGAGCCAGCTGCAAAAGCAGAGTGGACCTAACCTGTAAGTGCAGATATCTTGAGCACTTGGGTTACTTTGTAATTTTTCTCAGAGACTCAGATCAAGTACCGAATCATTGGAAAATTATGG